ACACTTTGCAAAAAAACTGGCCCGTTCATTCCCAGCAACACCCACATGTCCCCAAACAAATGTAAAAACAATTGAGATTTTTTTTTTTTTTTTAATCTTTTAAGTTGTCTTTGAATCCTGACAATTATGTTATTAAAAGAAGAAATACATTTTAGGGTCTCCAAGGATGAAAGGAGATCAGTACAAATGAGATAGTATGAAACAGCACTATTTTGTTCAGTGATCCATTTGATGGCAAAATTTAAACACTAAAGTTCAACTATAGAAACCTCGGTTGATCTTTGAATTATGGTAACTTGGCGATTTTTTGGCGAAAATTTGGCGACCAACTCTGCTACAGCAACCCTCTACTTTTTTTTTTTCGCCGCCATTTTATCTTCACGAAGTAAAGACATATTTCTCTTATTTTTATTTACTCAACACCTTTTCCAACAATCTACTAGCCGAATTACGCTTATGATAGAAATTTTATGTAACAAAACTGCTTAATCATGACAAATATTAACTGCAAAATTGGGAAAAAGTGCACAATCGCAAACTCCTTGCGCGTTTTTCAGAATAACACACACACATAAACCATTTACACGTCGACTTATTTTTACTTAAAAAAACATCCCAGAATTGCACAAAAATGGCATTGCACACACTCTTAGCTTTATCCATCTACACTGCTATTTTCTCATAAATTACAAAAATTTGCACGAAAATGCAGGAAAATTTTTAATCTTTAAAACTCGGTAAAAAAGCATATATGAAACCTTGATCGCGAAAAAAATATATACTCTTTCAAGGATGAACATTTCCATGTATAAAATAAATAAAATATCCAAAAGCTTTTACCTCTAAATTATCTATTATATTATAAACGTCACCAACAAATTTATACGCAAACATTAAAAATAGTTACAAATAATTAGTGTCAAATATTTAAATTATTTCCATGCACGTTTATTTCAACTTAAACGTATACCAAATTCCTACAAACATAAAATTCACAAAATAACTATCATTTAATTAAAATATCACTAAACCATGGACACGTGGACTTATTTTTACTTAAAAGAACATCCCAGAATTGCACAAAAATGGCATTGCGCACACTCTTCACTATATCCATGTACACTGCTTTTTTATCATAAATTAGTAAAATTTCACGAAAATGCATGAAAATATTCAACGTATATACTACTCAAACGTATTCCAAAATACTACAACATATAACTCACAAATCACGATCATTAAATTAAAATATAACTAATTAAAAACACTATTTAAATAAGCACATACATTAAATTAATTAAAATTAGATTACAATCCTAATTACTTTAAACTAATCATGCTAAACATTTTCCAATAATAACCATTTTAAGTATTTATCCTTACATTTAGAACAATGCATAAAAATAAATCCTCAAATGATTAAAAATACTAACTTACCAATCATCTTCAGAATTTCATTAGTGGCAAGCACACTTCCCTACAGAAAGAGTTCCAATCGCTGCACTACTACTGCTAATTTCTAAAATCCGAAATCCAGTATCAACTTATATGAATTTTAACGTATTAAAATTTAGAATTCACGTTACATAGCGCCATGCGATCCAAAAATTAATCAACACTCGCACAACACACAATGAAGCTTAATACTGCAGCTATAGTACTGCAGATGTTTTTCCAAATTTATCCCCTTTTCCGATTAAAGAACTGTAATTTATTTGTCCATTAATGTCACATGACATATCTCATGATCTCTCATTTCCCTTACACAAAATAATGCGTAATCGAAATGGAGTGCTTCTCACATTATTACCAAAGTCCTAGGTAGTAACCTTTATCGCCTCCAAAATGTCACCAAACTACCTGTTACCATATTCCAAAGATCAGCCGAAACCTGTATTCACCTTGAATTTCAAACTGAAAATGCTCAAATTCAGTCTTGAATTCAAGCATTTCTGAAGACAACAAATGCAAAGCCAACTTTACTACAGTCAAAAGTCTTTAATCCGGACTCGTCGGGACATCGACGACTCCGGATTATCGGTTTTTCTGGATTATAGATCATCAGTTTAAATCTGGTAAGATGGCATGCAGAAATTATAAAATTAAAAATATGAAACCATAATTTGTGAAATAAAGAGCAATTGTTATCTAAAAAGTGTCAAAATTTACCCCCCCCCAAAAAAAAACTTAATATTTATTTGTTTACTTTATTAAACATTTCTTTCAATGCTCACATGCGTAAAGTATACATTATACATAGTCGAAATTAGAAAATTGCAACCAGAAAACTATTTGATGTGTATTTGTTATATTTATAATGACGAGGAATTTGATTTAAATCATACCAAACACGGAGTACATCGAGATGAAATACTATATTTAGTAAGAAATTGTAAGCCGAATGAAATAAAAACATCTGCCCTGTAAATAAGGATAGTGCTGACTGATCAACTTCCAGTTCATTGCGTGCCGCAACATCCCCCCCCTTCCCGCACAGCAGCGTGAAATTGATAAACAGATTTCGGTATGGTTAGAAAAACAAAGGATATGGCTTTATCCATTTTTGAGCAATTCCACTTTTTGTTTGATGGACATCGAAACATGCTTCGTCTTTGTAGTCCTTTGGCTGCTCAGAATCGAAATTTTTTTGACATAATAAAAGTTCAAGCTTACTTTTATAAAATTGCTCTAACATTCTGCAAAAAATAATAAGCCGGATCCAGTTAGAAGATTAAGGAACAACACAATCTGCAACATTAACTGAAATAGATAATTTTAGCGTAGCTTATACCGTCCGTTATACAATAAACACGCATGCGTAAACGCATATGCGCTTACGTAAAGGTATTATGCGCATGCGTAAATGCATTCATGCGTTTACGCATGCGCAGAAAGTTTGTAGCTTTGAGGTCCGGATTATAGATCATTCCAAATTATGGACGTCCGGATTAAAGACTTTTGACTGTATCAGTTTTACTGCAATCAGTATAGCAAGTTACAGATATACACAATATTTCATGCATGAATTTAAAATTTTCTTTTGTTATCCTTAAAAATGCTTTTCAAAAATAAAAGCTTTATTTTATTACTCAGGATTTTCTCAGTAGAAAAATCTATATCAAATGAAATTTTCTGAATGATATAAAATGTAGACTATCTGCTTAAATATTAATATGGAGAATTATACTATAAATGTTTCAATAACCTGAATGGTAAATTTAACTTAATTTGGAGTTTTTTGAAATTGTGATGCTATGCAATGTAGAAACGTCTTGGAGAGTTCTAATAGGGGAACCGGAAAGTAATGTCGTTTCTGCACATATCGACAACAACATGCTGAGGGCAGAAGTGGAAGCAAATCCATGTCAAACACTCTTAACCAACCTTGGTCGACCATCCAAGATCATTTAAAGCAGAATGGAAAAATAAGCACAGGTGTTTGAGTCCCCCATAATCTGCCTGAAAAGAACAAAGCCAACCTATCCATCACATGCAACGTATTGCTTCAATGGCACCATACAGAACTGTTTTTTGATCGTTTGATTTGTGGAGACAAAAAAATAAGTCCTATATGATAATCCAAAACTCAATCAGTTCTAATAGGGGTTACAGAGGGTTTACATCCTGAAAAGTGCTTATTCCTGGAATTGTTCATTTTGAATTGCTGAAACCTGAACAAACTGTTAATGCAGACCTTTATTGTGAACAATTGGATGGAGTGAACCAATCTTTAATCGAAAAAATATCAATTGTCTACAGAAAAGGTGTTGTGACACTACAAAGCAAGACCTGCAACACTACAATGCAAGACCACACTGTGCAAGATGAACACTGGAAAAAATTAATGAATTGGGGTGGGAGGTACTGCCATACTCACCCACCATACTTGGCCGATATCGCAGCAATGGATTTCCATTTATTCGGGTCCCTACAACATTTTCCTAGTAACAAAAAATTTGAAAATTTGGATGATGTCCAAAATGTCCTCTCAAGGTATTTTACTCAAAAACCAATTGAGTTTTTATCGGTCCAAGATTGAAAATCTGCACATTAGATGGCAAAAGGTTGTTGATAATGAGGATGATTATATTATTGATTAAAAATTAAAACTTGTTAAAAATGTATTCGTTTGAATTTAATGTAAGAAAGCGACATTACTTTCCGGTCCCCCTATTAGTTTTACACATATCATGGTTGGCAGCTCTAGTTTATCTGACTGAAGAGGAATAATTGACTTGTTAAAATTGTAAAGGATTTTTCCACCCTCTGTTATTAATAACCTATATTCAATAAAATGATATTTATGAAGCAAAAATCCCATTTTTGAATTTTTGGTTCTTATTTTCTTCTTCAGTGTGATTGTTCAGTTGGTATTTACATATTTGTGTTAATGGAAACATTGTGAAATGTTTCATATTATAATGATACTTTCAGTTTCTCTTTGAACATATATTTGAATCATCATGAAAGTTTTTCAATTTTTTATTGAAAAGATAAATTTTTTTCAATAAATAGAGAATTTTAATGATCGGTAGATATTTTTTTTTTTTTCTTTTTGTGTGTGTGTCATTATTTTAGATATTCTGGTATGTGTTCAACATATTAATTGATTATAATGTATTTTATGGTTAAGGTTTTGATTAAGGATATTTAAGCAAATTGCCAAAATTTCATTAAAAGCTGTGCCAGGTCAAACAGTGGGCTATAAACTGGGTGCTACATGTTGATGCATGTAGTTAAAATTTGTGTGGTCAGGCACTTTGATCTGTCACGTCAATAGGCCTCTCAAAAAAACAGTTCGAAGGTAAGCGTAAAACAAAAATACTAAATTCCAAGCTCAATTCTTCGTGATATCATTCTGAATGTTTGATATCAATCATAAAAAAGCATGGATACTAGTTAAAATAATTTAAAATCTTTTGTGATGATAAATAATAGTTACTAACAAATTTCTGCATTTTAATTTTCTAATAAATTATTATTTCTTTTTTTATAATTAGATAAGTATATGGCACACTGTAATGCAAAAGAAGACTGTGATGCTGGATTTCGTATGATATGCAACATTGGAAGATGTATGTGTAAAACTGGAGACTTATTTCTTGAATGGCCTAAATACGGATGTTTTTCTAAAGGTCTGTATAAATTCTGTTATTAGGACTGAAACTAAACAGTTTTCTTTCTCAGAAGTTCTTAATTCAGAAATTACTTTTAATTAATGACAAAAATATTACAGCCTTTTATTTTTATTTTATTGGAGGGCATATAAAAAGTTGTAATGTTTTTCATAGGATTAGTATAAATACTGTATATAACCAAATAATGTGTTTCTGTGTATTAAGAACTTTAGTTTTTATATGAAATCAGATATTTTTAATGAAACAAATGTGAAATCAGTTTTATAGCATTTCATGTAAAAATTTAGACTAAATTCATTCAGTTTTGCTGTTATTTATTTGTCGGACAGCTGCAATTTGTAAATGAGAACTGAAGGAAATTGGGCTTGTTTAAATTTGTTAGAGTGATTTTCATATTTGAGTTAAATTTTGAGTTTGATTCATTGTGAAATGTAGAATAGATTAGTCACATAGAAAAACAACCTTTGTTGAATTATATTACAGCAAACTACCAATTTGAAGTGTTTTCCATTGTGTTTTTTTTTTTAACTTCTAAACCTGCATGGATAATATGGTAGATAAAAAGTGTCATAAAAAAAGAGATGATTTAGTCACATATCAGATACTATAGCCTTAAAATAAAACCTTGTTGCAAGATGAAAATTTCTAACAGTCCTAATTTTTGGAATTTGTTGCCATGACTTCAGAAAAAAAAAAAAAAAAAAATATGGGTTTCTGTTCAAAATTTTTAACTTTTGATTTTCAGAAAACAAGTTTCCCTGTACTATTTTCGTACTAAGTTCATGTATTGCAAGATCCTCAAATTCTTTAAATTGGCAATGAATCATAAAATTAATTAGTTTGATATAAATTACGAAATATATTCAACTAAAGAGAATTGCCCTGGTACGTAATCAGATCGAAATTTTTGGCTGTTATTAGTCAAATAATAGCAAATTACCTGGTTATACTTTTCATACATAGTTTCTGATCAACTAGTTGAAGTGTTTCATTTTGATATTTTTAAATATGTATATTGGTATGTTTTAAAAATGAAATATATGTTTCTAAATATAAACTTCAAATTATATTCTTTTTAAACTTACAGTTTTTTTTTTTTTTTATATGCTCAGTTATTCAGAATGTATTTTACCAGATATATTTCAAAACTTTTAAACAAAATTATGTGCATATGTAACAAGAAGGAGAGCTTACAGAATTAAAAAGTTGTACATAATTCAACAAGCAACAACAGTTATGCTGTATTATGCATTGTAGTTATAACAATTAAAAAAAATATTAGTTTTTTTTAAGACACCAATTCTCTAACTTAAAAAAAAAAAAAAAAAAATTAAAACTAGCTAGTTTTTATTATTATTCATATGCTTATTCAGCAGATAGATGGGAGAGAATTAAAACTTTAAATCATTCGACAATTTAAAAAATATTTGTAATCCCTGTTTGCGGAATCCAGATAACTACATATTAAAAAGTTTGATTTATTAGAATCACTTCAAGGTATATATAAATATATATATATATATAGAGAGAGAGAGAGACAAAATGTAAGAAATTTAGAACCAAATCCACAAAGATTTAAAGACAAAAGTGAATTTCTTACTTTTTATCTGTAACTGATTCATTTTCAGCAGCATATTGTGCAGAAATAAGATTGGAATAATTTTGTTTTAAAATAAAAGTTTGTGGTACTGTTATTTATGTATAAATATATTGAAACAATGTGAAAAAATTGAATATTGATATTCAAGTCAAGTTTTAAATAATATGTTTGATTAGAATATTGAACTGCGAAATTGTGTGTATTAGCATGGCATAATTTTGCCAATTGTATATGCGTAATATTTTTTAAGTATTAATGAAAACAAGAAGCATCAGATTCCACACATACTGAAGAAGTGGATTGTTCTGGAAATTCTCTGGCAACAGAATTATTGTCTAAAGCATTCATAAGAAACTGAAACATTTAAAGAAGAAAATATAAATTTATTAAAGTATCTTATGTTGCACCTGATAAAAATTAAATTTTTTAAATGTTGAGTAAAAAGGAAACACATGTCCCTGAAAAAATTGGATCCTTTCTGTTGCAGGACAGTGTATGCCAAACAGTTTTCTATTGAAAAATGCATCTACCAACTATCTACTTCTAGTGAGAATATGCATTTGAAATTAGAAATCCTGTTAGAAAATATGTTAATAACCTAGTTGTGCTTCCCTTTTATCCTTTGATCAGTTTCAAAATTGCAAGAATTCTCCAGAAGTTTAATTTTCAATCATTTTCTCGTCTATCAATAAGGTCCATGGTTCAGTTCTTAAAGATACTATTTATGACTTCAATTCTTGGGAAATTTATAGCATATCTTGTCAGTGTGGCTGGAGATATATATGCCAAACCAGATCATTAAGATTTTGCATTAAAGAACATGAATCTTATGTCCAAAAAAGTGAAATTTACAAGTCTTCGATTGCTAATCATAGATGGAAATTCAATCACAGTTTTGACTTGGGTCTGCAAAAATTATCCAGAAAGCTTCTTCCACTGGAGAATTAGATTTTATTGAAGCATTTTACATTCACAAACATTTACTGTGCTTAGTTAATGATTTTAATCCAATCCTACCTAATGCTTTTAAATACTATGCTATATTATCCTAGTTTTTCAATTTTGTTATTATTTCGAATAACAGATGGTGCTACTCTCTCGTCTCTCTTGAATTCCTTAGGGTATAAATATATTCGTAACTTGGTTTTTCAGTTTCAGTTTTTCAGAGAAAAAAGTCATTTGAAGAGATCTCAACCAGTGTTCTAAGCTGGCCAATTTAATGTTTTATTCTTATATAATAATATCTTGTTTTCAAAATAAGTAGGTAAGATGAAAGATTTTTAAAGTGTGTCATTCAGTTCTACTTCTATGTTTATTGAAATAATTAACCTTACATTTACTACTTTTTGAGACACACTTTACTTGCATATTGTCCTATGTGTATGAAGATTCAGAATTTCAACATTAAAGGTTCTAGTGTTTGTTTCTGTATTTCTTTCATGAATTTAATATAAGCTGAAAAATAATCAAAATATTGGAAGTGTATATTACCATTTGAATACAATAAAAATGCATATGGGCCTACAATCATATAACTACATAATTTCATCATAACAACTGAATTTTATTTTTAATACTGATATACACACAAGAAAATAGTTAAAACTTTAACATTTTATAGTTGGAAATTTAATATATTTATGACATTAATGCTATAATGCTTCTGATACCACATTGTGGAAATGACAAGATACAGGCAAGAACAGCCAAAATAATATCTGGAGCTATTTCATCTACCAGCAACATTAAGGCAGAACAGGAGTGCAGACTTCCAACTCTTTTTACAGAAGAGGAAATATCTTGCACTCAAGTTTACAAACAAGGCCAGGAGCCAAGATGTGGGACATATCTCCAGAAGGACTTTTGGAAACTGGAACACCAGGTCAAGACTTACGAGGTCATCTACCCTGAAATATGATAGTGAGATCAGAGAAATATTGCTGTCAAACATGACGCCAACATTGTCCTTCAAGAACCTAACCTGCCCTCTTATATCCCTGTTAACACCAAGACAAATTTTGATCTGGGGGAACAATGTACAAAAAAGGAAGCTGAAGCTGTTATCAAGGCAAAAAGGTACTCAAACAATTAAGTCCTTTTTGGGAGCTGATTTGATAAAAATTTACACAGAATGAGACTGTTCAATAGGATGTAGCCAGTAATTCACATCACTCTACCAAGAGGAGCAACTATACTCTAAAGCCATGAAGCAGGCACCATCGCTTCCAACTTCACATGTAAATTAAGAGCAATCCAAGAGGCCCTAAGAATTAACATCGACTTGATAATGATAAAGCCAGCAGACTTGTAATTTACTGTGACTCTAAGACAGCCCTAATGGCAATATTGTAGGGGCATTCAAGACTCATCCAGGATGTACACCAGCATCTAGAAATGATCAATCAGATGGGAAAGATGTGCATTATGCAGTCGGATACCTGCACATATTGGAATCAATAAAAATGAGGCAGCCGATGAACTGGCTAAAAAGACAAGAAATCTCAACAACTCAATCCCCGTCACTCTTGAAGATGCTAATGCCATTGCCAGATAAAGAGAAATCTGTTAAGAAAGACTGGCAGGTATACGAGATTGATGCAAACAGAGAAATCACAAAAACCATTACTAGCTTGAGAACCTGCCATTTTAGAGGAATAAAAATTAATGAAGATGATGCCAGACCATATAGAACTTGTAGAAACTGCCTTGAAACGGAGTTTCTCCAGAACACATTTTCACCTGTCTGGCAATGCTTGCGGATCTGCAAAGCTTGGGGGAATTTCCTTTCCAGGAAGAGCTGTATAGTGAAAACTGACAAAAGCAGTGATTTTCACGTATCCATTTGACTTCTCAAAGGACATGACACCAACCAACCAACATTAATGTTATAAAATAATATTTGCTGCAAAATCTGATTTAAAAGTCCATATAAAATGTTTTTTTAAATAATTAACTTTGTAATGGGTGCAACACACTTTTATAATTTTGAATAATAATAAAAGTAGTTATGCAATATCTGTTAGCAACGATGTCTATTTACAGCAAACAAGATTTTATGTTTAGTTGAAGAAAATAACATCTCTTCAAGGTGTGTTTTTATTATTTCAACCCACTAAAAAATATTGCTTATTGTTAAACATTGTATTTCAAAAAAGACCATGTAAAGCTCATTTCTTTTTATACTATTTTTAATGATCTTGAATTTCTTTTCATTATTTTAGTTTTTGCTGGAACTTTTCTGGACTGAATTAATTATCAGTTTGATTTATGCAGTTATATTTCACAGTAAAATAATAGAGGCTGCATAATTCAATATATATGAGTTCAACTCAGACTATTAAAATTCATGTTTATTTTATCATGTTAAAACTTAAACTAAATTTATGAAGCCTTTTAAAATAATTTCCCTTCTTTTTTTAGTTCAGATGTTTGGCCCGTGTGAAGTTACTGGACAGTGTGTGGCTATGAATCCAAACACATATTGTAATCCTGAGAATGGTCGATGTACATGTTCCCCTAGCTACTTTTATAATGGACGAGAATGCAGTTTGCGATGTGAGTAGTCCACTGTATTATTTTTCTATTTTTAGTGGTTCAAAAAGTATTTTAATGTTTAAATTTTTGTGTGTGTGTGTGTTGTTTTTGTTAGAATTACTGGCTGATCTTTGGAATATGGTAACTGATAGTTTGGCGACATTTTGGAAGCGATAAAGGACTTTGGTAATAATGTGAGCAGTACTCAGTTCCGATTACGCATTATTTTGTGTGAGGGAAATGAGAGATCATGAGATATGTCATGTGATATTAATGGATGAATTACAGTTCTTTAATCGGAAAAGGGGGGGGGAATTTGGAAAATATCTGGGCAGTATATTATTTTGTATTAAGCTTCATTGTGTGTTGTGTGAAGTAGTGTGAATATTTTTCGGATTGTATGGCTTGTGTTGAATAGGATTTTGGAAAAAAATGGGGCACAGGAGTAATAATTATTTTAAAGGGAAGTCATTTAGAGAACAGAGAAGCTGCATTTAAAGCGGAATTCCGAGTGGGGGGGATTGGAAAAGAAAATTGCCATTCATTAATTTTATTGAAAGTGTGGACAATAATTGCGAAAAATTGATAATTTAAGAGAATTTATGTTATTTAGCAAAAGTAAGCAGATTCTGAAGAAGATTAGGTAAGTTAGTATTTTTAATTATTTGAGGATATTATTTTTATGCATTGTTCTAAATGTAAGGTGGAGTAAAAGTAATTTGGTATTATTGGAAAATTGTTATTAGCAATGATTAGTTTAAAGTAAAGGATTGTAAGCTAACTTTTATTAATTAATGTATTTGCTTATTTATATTTTAAGTAGTGTTTTTGAATTTAATTATATTTTAATTAAATGATAGTTATTTTGTGAATTATATGTTTGTAGAATTTGGTATATATGTTAGAGTGGAAGTAAAACGTGCATGGAAATAATTTAAATATTTGACACTAAGTATTTGTAACCATTTGTAATGTTTGTGGTATGAATTAGTTGGTGATGTTTGTAATATAATAGATAATGTAGAGGTAAAAAGTTTTTGGATTTTTATATTTTTATACGTGGAAATGTTTCATATTTGGAAAGGGGTATATACTTTTCGCGATCAGGTAATTTCATATATGTTTTTTACCGGGTTAAAGATTCAGAAAATTGTCATGCATTTTTGTGAAATTTTTCTAATTACGAGAAAAAAGCAGTTGTACATGGATATAGTGAAGAGTGTGTGCGCAATGCCATTTTTGTGCAATTCTGGGATGTTTTTTTAAGTAAAAATAAGTCGACGTGTACATGGTTTAGTGATATTTTAATTAAATGACAATTATTTTGTGAATTTTATGTTTGTATGAATTTGGTATATGTTTAAGTTGAAGTAAACGTGCATGGAAATAATTTAAATATTTGACACTCAGTATTTGTAATGCTTGCGGTATGAATTCGTTGGTGACGTGTATAATATAATAGATGATTTAGAGGTAAAAGTTTTTGGATATTTTGTTTATTTTATATGTGGAAATGTTCATATTTGGAAAGGGTATAAACTTTTTCGCGATCAGGTAATTTCATATATGTTCTTTTTACCGGGTTTAAAGATTCAGAAAATTGTCATGTGTTTTTCTAATTTATGAGAAAAAAGCAGTGTACATGGATATAGTGAAGAGTGTGCGCAATGCCATTTTTGTGCAATTCTGGGATGTTTTTTTAAGTAAAAATAAGTCGACGTGTACATGGTTTATGTGTATGTGTTATTCTGAAAAAACGCGCAAGGAGTTTGCTATTGTGCATTTTTTCCCAATTTTGCAGTGAATATTTGTCATGATTAAGCAGTTTTGTTAGATAAAATTTCTAGCATAAGTGTAATTCGGCTAGTAGATTGTTGGAAAAAGTGTTGAGTAAATAAAAAGAAAAGAAACATGTCTTTACTTTCGTGAAGACAAAATGGCGGTGGAAAAAAAAATAGAGGGTTGCTGTAGCAGAGTTGGTCGCCAAATTTTCGCCAAAAAATCATTAAGTTACCATAATCCAAAGATCAACCGATTTACCTAATCGTTTTTCTTGTTAACCTAATCTTGATAAACAAAGTATGATTCAATAGTAAAATGTTTCCTAATTCAAAAAAAGTTACAAAATTCTTCTTAATTATTATAAATATTTGCTATATCATGTATAATAAAAAGCTCTATAAATATCCCAGTATTAAATACACCAAAAACTAACTTCAGCAATGTAACAACTTCTAAAATAAAGCAGTTGACTGTGAAAGAGTATTCAATAAAATACAGTTATATTCTAACATATATTTCATTTTCAGTCTTTAAATGTACTAAAAATTAAAGCTGCCATTCTCTAATAATTGTCATGTATGCAAAGTAACACAAAATATACAAATCATAAACTCAATTAATTATTCAGTAATAATATAATTTGACAAATTTGTTAGAAGTTTATTGCAGAATAATGAAAATTTTAAAACGTAGTGATGTGTTTTCAGAATTGACGTTAACTCTTGCGAGTTTGATATTTCTTATACATTCTATAACAAAGCTATGCACAAAGAAGTAGTTATCCGAATGGGAGAAAACTAGTTAGCTGTATAGTATGTTTTTATATACTGAAAACAAAGTGCTAACCGTATCATAGGAATTGCATGGTTTATTCAGAAAATATAGCTATAAGAACAAAAAAATCAATAATTTGTTGGCCCACCTCTGGCCCTGATGCGAGCTGTTATCCAACTGGGCATTGCCTGTAGAGTTGTCACATATCCTCCTGCAAGATTGCTTGGCATGCATGTTCCAACTGGTGAATTAGATTGCTGCAAGGATAGGGATAGTCAGAAGTGCCTGCTCATCAGAATACAAAAATGTTCTATTAGCGAGAGATCCGGTGATTGCTGTAGCAAGGAAAGAATGAGAGATGCATGAAGACAAGCAATATAAATGTTTGTTGTGTGAAGCCAGGCATTATCTAGTTGAAATGTAAACCCTGGGATCCATGAAAAGAAGGACAACACTATGAGCTATAGAATCTCGTGAAAGGGCACTCGTACCTAACTCCTGATTACTGGCTTGTGTGGCAGGCAACAGTCAAGTGAAAATCCCACCACTGTCCTGGATATCTCCAGACACATCTTCATTGGTCATCAGGGCTCATCATTACATCAATTCTATTCAAATCTGTGAAACCCCAGGTCAAATGCACACAGCACCACTGCACACGTGCCAGGTGGTATGCATTGTGAAGGGCAGTCAGTGCATTATCTTCCATGGCATAAGGCTCTGTTCTCTGAGTTGCCTGTCAATGGTCATTGTAGTTACTGTGGTTTCAGTTGCACATCGGATCATTGATAAGGGTTCATCAGAAGTTGTGAGTGCAGTTCATATGATCACTATGTCCTCTCATTTTGTCATCGCTCTTGGTTAGTCAACACTTTCATAAAGCTCTACTGCCCATGGTTCACCAATTCCTAACAACATCATCAAATGGTAGCTTCACTCCAACCCAAATATTAGTGACCCTGCGATTTCATCATCCTGCCGCCTGTAGTCCGATTGCATGTCCTCCCTCAAATGGTAATATATGCTTATAATGTTTGCAGACCCATTTGCAAGGTATTCGTGCAGTCTCTGCGGGGGTCAGTGGAACCATATTCCCATCAAAATTATGCCTTAGCTTTGGAACTTTGGAATACCTTCTGTTTTTGTACACCGTCTGGATGCTCCATTGCAATGTGCTGAAGCTCCAGATAGGCAGTCACAGGCTGCCAGAAGTTAATCTTTTACAAATTCTCATTCATCAAAGATTTGGGCACACACAATTTTGTTCCATTTGGATAACTCCTTCTTGGTACAGTATATTGTAATACAATATATTGGAATGAGGATTTTGAGTCTCATGATATCCCCAGTTCAATAACATAAACTATTCGGCTGGAAAGGATTGTTGTCATTTAAATATATGTTCTCTATCCCATGAATTTTCTATCTGTTGATTTCACCAATTCATTAAAACTAGTTGATAACCTTATATTTGTGTGACTGGCATAGTGCTGTCTAGGTATTCCTAAAATTCAAAATAATTCATTTTGATTTTTTTTCCTGTGTTAATTGCTAGTGATTATTTATTTCCATTTAATGGGAAAATGAAAATGCAAGCTAGATCTTTAGTTCGTACCTTTTAGGGAATTAAATTTTGAATGCATCCTTTTAATAGCATCATATCTTGCTATAGCTGTGAATGACATTTTAACAATTTTAATTTTGGTTTACATTTTTATATAACTATGGATTTCCATTACCTCATTCCAAACATTTCATATGAAGCATTTTCATTAACTGCCAAAACTACAAGGAATGTTTCTTTTCTCATGAAAATAATAACAAATATTAAATTAAGCATTTATAACATAAATTTACATTGAAAATAAAAAAAAAATTCTCGTACGTGTGGAAAAAGCGAGTGTTGCATTCACGCAATATCAGTAAAATAAGACTACGAATGTTTAGTGAGTAGAATTGTACTCGTGTGATGTTTCTTTTGAGTGGAGCGCAGGATTACTTTTTAGCTGTATAACATTTCATAAATCTACAAATCACTTTACTTGTAATTAATTTAATATTAAAATATACATTGTATTTCTTTTACAAATACAGATTATTTCATTTGAAAGATTCAAGCATGTAAAGCTTGATTACGATCATGATGTAAAGCTACATTACATACTTTGCATCTATAAATAGTCTGGCTATGGTAGTCTTTACAACAAAATCTTTTGTTATCAACGGACTTTATGATAAAATGTCTACCATCTCCATGCAATGGTTTTCGAATGCTGAATTTACTAGGTCTTCCTGTTGCTGATCTATTTCTGGCCAATTCTACGCTCTCAATAGGAGTTTGCAAAAGAAATTATAATGCATTCTCGCGTCTGAAATTTAAAAGAGACTTTATATTTCCAGTAGTCAAAAGTGGTGATATTTAGTAAGTTTAAATACGGTCTCATATAATTTATCAGTATTGTCAATTTGACTATTGTCGAATGCAAATTCTGCTTCATATTCCTGTACTGCAAACGTGATATAAATTCTTGTACAACAGGAACAGAAATGTCCTTATCAAAAGAGAATACATTTTTTGAGGTAAAGAATGATATCCTGTAATCAATAATATTCCAATAAATCTTCTCATATAGGCTTCAGATGCACTAAATTCTGGGCTGGTCCCCTCCCCCTGAGCATATGTATTTGTCTGTTCAATGAGAAGAGAGTAAATGTCTAAACCAAAAAGAAAATCGAAAATCTGTGCACTAGTTTTACCTTGTGTTTTGTATTTTATAATTTCTCTTCTATCTCTTTCTTCATGTTTTCCTGAGACATAACTAACAGTTCCTTTTTTATCCACTTCAAGATTTCAGTCTTCTGCTTTTTAAACTTTTTAGTATGACTATAACTGCTTTCAGAAGGCTGAAACTTACTTCTTACGTGAATTTCAACTTCCCCAGCAGTATCATTTGGTAAAATATCATTATCATTATTTAAAACATTGCCATTCCTTTCTTCTTCGTCACTAACCTCTGCAGTTTCTGGGGGAACAACAGCAGTATCAGTTTCATTCTAGTCATTATTAACATTATCATCATCTGTTTCTTCATCAAAAAATCTTTGAAGGGCTTCTTCTAATATAAGATACCTCGTTCTAGACATTTTTAAACAACCAGAACATGAACCAGAACATCGAAAGGAATGAGTGAAAAAGGAGATTGACTACCCGTTTCCTGCTGATGTTGCGGATTGAAATAATCTTCATAATATTCCCTACACAAAATCATCTGCTGATATAAAATATCTTAGGTAGTTATATTTATATACGCATTTATTTTGACCGTTGCGTCAACGCAACACCAGCGGCTAATGGGTTAAGTTATGAATTGCTGATGAGTACTGATTAAGGTACAGACTTGAAAATATGCTTAATAAATTAGTGTTTATGTGTTTTTCTTTTAAAAATTTTAGTAGTTTTTACCACTAACTAATAAGTAATAAAATATGTTACAAAATTATTATAGTCACTGTTCTTTTTTAAAAAATTTGTTTGTAAAAATCAGTCAATTGGTATCTTAATAAAGTTATTAAATTCATTATCTGATTTAAATTATTGACACTGTGCACAAATTGTTCCCGCCCCCCCTTTTTTTTTTAAGAAAATATTGCTGTCTTAATTGTGAAGAAGACTTGTTGCAGTGGGTGTGCTTTTTCTCTTCATTGATTTTGCAACCTGATATGTATTTTATTCTGTCATAATAATAGACTGTTTGCCAAGTAATGTTTATTACAAAGATATGATGATCTTAAAATTTGCTGTTTAACTTACAGAATTATAAAAACATGGCAAAAAATAGCCACGTGTACATTCAGTAAGTACTGAAAATTATTACACAGTCTTCACTTCAGTTAAAGTTTCCTCTGAAACATTTTTTTTAACTGAATTTAGTTTACTTTAGTGATTTTTGTAAAATTTTCTGCAATAAACGGATGTTTTTCAAAAAATAAACTTGATAGCAAGGTAAGGTATAAGAGGTATATAAATAAATCTATGGAAGTGCAATAAGGATGTTCATTTACATTTTTTTTTAAATCTGAATTAATGTATATAAATTTTGCTGCATATATTGACATAAAGTTTGTTAATGCAAATATTCTTTCCTAGATGACAATTCTAATTTAAAAGCACAAGAAGTTTATAAAGCTGCAGTGGTAGCTGCTGCTTGTTTTATAGTTGCAGTTGTTGGCATATTTGTTGCCTGCATTGTAAGAAGGTAAGAAAAATAGTTTTTATTTATGTTTGTAAATTAATTTGTAACTTGATTACAATTGAGCATAAGTTAAATTATATTGTTACGAAATGTATAGGCGCGGTAAGATGGCTTCCCCGGCAAAGCAGTTTTAGGGTTGCCATAAAATAGCAAGGAAGGCAGAGTTGCCGCAAATTCCTTGGGAATTAGTGAAGTGTAATTTTAGTCTACCTTAATAGCATCCGCTATACAATACTGGCTATTTTTCATGAGATTGTTAATGAAAGGCAAGTTGTTCTGCTAAATTTTGTCTTGTTTCTATCATGCACAGAGACAATTAAGCCTGAATTGTGTTATTTATTATATTTATGTCTATTTCTTGCACATGCTTAAGGCTTTGTTTCTGAAACATGTTTTCTATAATTTGCTAAAATCAGTCAGGTATTTTTCACTTTTATTATTATTACCAGTATTAACATCATCAACAAAATAGATTTTACTTCTTCACACAGAGTTGTCTCAGTAAGGTTTTATTATGCTTCATCCATCAGTAATTAAAGTAGCTGCTTATATCATTTCATTCTGCTATTCTTTATGAACATGCTCTAATATATACCTACTTGAAACATACTACCTACTTTTCTTGAAGGTGGTTTATATCTTGCAACGAGTTTGGATATGAGTGCTTTAAAATGTTCATTTTCACATGTGAAAATGGTTCATTGCAAAATTAAAAGAATATATCTGCTAGTTTGTCTATTTCTTCTCTTGAACGTGAGAAGTAAAATAATTAAAATCATTCAACTTTCAGAGATTTCTTTTGAAAGAATAATTTTTGTTACGTCTTTTTGTTTTTCAGAATCAGACTGAAATACTTTCTCTAAATAATTCAATATAAATAAATAATATAAAGTATTTTTCATATAAAATAGTAATGATATCTTTTTAATAATTTTTAGTCTGTCAAATATTTGGCGAATAAAGAGATATATATTTAGAAACTTAAAATGGAATTTGGCCAGCAAAAAGGTGGGGAGCTGCTTTCACATTTTAGACTTGTTTTCTTATATTGAAAAAATTATGTTTTTTAGGAACTATGTTCTCATTTGCTTTTTATGTATGAATAAAAACTAAAGAGGAATAATTTTATTTACATGCAGTTTATTTATTAGTGATTGTAATTTTTAGGTCATTTTGCAGACGAGAACAACATATGCAACAAAGTGAATCAAATCGAAACAGCGATATTTTTTCCATTAGTGATGAAATAGCTGCTCTTAGAGCTGTTGATAAGCCACCTTCATATGAAGAAGTATTACAGATTGAAAGAACGGTAATAAAGTGTTAATAATAATAATATACTGTTTCTGTTTGAACAAAATACAGATCTTCAGGCTATATATAATATGTAATAATGCTATTGTTGAGACTGTTATTACTGTTGTTATGAGAAAATTTTTGTCTATGAATTTTTTGTTATTGTTTATTTATTTTACTTTATTAGTTTTCAGTAAAAAAAGTATTTGCTGTGAAGCTTTAAATGTGTTAATGTGAGCATTAAAATTAGAAAGAATTTTTGAATAACTGCAGTATCTCATCTGCTGAGTAGTTAATGGTGTAATGAGTCATTTTGTTTATGTTCTTTCAGAGTCTTCTTTTATCTTCTGAAATTAAACGCTAGATGTTTCTCAGTTTTAGAATCATTAGTATTTCATATAAGAATCTAGTATTGTGCTATAGTGAGCTATTATTTAATACAAATTTGATTTTTATTTAAAACATATTTTCGATTTCCAGTTTTATGGTATCCCTCCACCTGAATATTCAGCTTCCAGACATGGCAGTTCTGCAACAAATACACCCCTATCAACTCCTGCTTGTGCATTTTCCCATGCAGATGATGCAAGTAACATGCCGTACAATCCAGATTATATGCCTGTGAATGAAGCTAGCAGCAATCAACATTTCGATTCTGTATCTGTGGAGTGTATGAAAGAATCTTCCCAAGAAATTACTATGTCATCTAGAGATTCTTCCACTGTACAAAATACAGGTGCTTCAAACTTCCTTGCAGCTGCCGAAGTTTTGCCTCAGCCACCAGACATTCAGGAAGACAATGTCCAACCTATAACCACACATTCAAGAGTAGTTAGTTTGGATATGCATTCTCATTCTTCCACTCAACTTCCTTGTCATAATCAATCGTACTTGAAATCTGTTCACAGCTCTTCATCCTTGCCAGGATCTCCTCGTTTAAGTTCCATCTCATCAAGGTCAAGTGGAACAATTTTAAACCATTTGTCCACAAGGAATGGACTACTTAAACAGAACTCATCCTCATCTGTACCTAATTCACCAGTTCATCTTTTGCCAGATTTGCCATCAACAAGCCATACCGAAGTTTCCAATTCATCCACTTCTAGTGGCAGAGTGAGAGATGAAGACAGTAACTTTAAACCAGATTGTAATCATTCAGATGTTGCTTATGATAACCTGGGATTTGTTTCAGATGTAAATGTCTAGATTTCATGTATATTCAAATCAACATATGGGATTTTATTCCCATATCAAGAGTAAATGTATATTCTGTGTATCAGTAGTATTTTAAATCTGGAGTTTTATCTTACTCTAGTGCTTACATTTCAAATGTGAAAATTTGTAACTCACCTATTTGTCACAACTACCTTCTTTTCATTATTCATTTTGAAAATATATGCATATTTTGTGTGTATTAGAGAATTTAAACATAATCATTTGCTTCTGAAGATGTTGAAAGGATGTGTTAATTTATTATTATTATTATTTGTATATTTGTTTTCATTATACTGTATTAACAAAAGATAAGATTAGATGTTTTTATAGTTTTCAAAGTTTGAAGATGTGTTTTTATATATAAGGTTTACTTTCTATGGTGATGCATAGAATATGTATCAGCATGAGTTTATTTTACACCTGTTTTGAATATTATTATATATGTTCTATTTTATGAGATATTTTATCTAGAAATTATAGTAAAGCATTTTACATTCATTAAATAAAATAAACTTCTGTTACAGTAATTATGAATATTATTTTTTCAGTCACTATTTCACTGTTAGAAAAACTCTATTGCTTTTAGCTGCTAAATGTTTCTATTATTAATAGCTTTTTGTGGCATATGCTGTATTGAAATAAAATACTGATGTGCCTGAAGAATACAAATGCATTTGATTTTGAATGTATCTATTTTATGAGACTGTTAGAAATTAATATTTCTAGGAAGAGCCTTATATCATATTTTTTACCAAAATATTTATCTGTATAAGGCTCCTGTCACATTCAGCAGTATTTCAGACAACTAGAGTCAGCTAGAACTTTTCTAATATGTTTTTGTTAATTCAAAGGATTTACTCTCGCATATAACATTTTACTCAGAGATCCAAAACATCATGCATTCATTATGCAATTAATCAGAAGCAAGCCTGATGATTTTGAGAATCCTTTGTCATCAGTGCAAGTAATTACAGATTTCTACTTGGCAAGATGGTATAACATGACTATAGTGAGTTTGCAGAAAAGTTCTAGCTAACTCAGGTTTGTCAAAATTTGTTGTTGAACCTGAGAGGCCCTTAATAGTGCCTTTATTTTTATGTAAAATTTATATGGAGTATTAACATTCTAGTCATTGTGACAACTTAAAATATTAAAAAATTAAAAAAAAAATTCTTTTAAATGTTTTTATGCTAAAAAACTGTTAACTGCCATTAATTTTATGTTTGCCTTTCCTGAAGTTCTTGCATATATAATGCTTTGCTAAAGATTATTTAGTATTATTATAAGTATATTATTTAGTATATTTCTCTGTTTATCGTTGCTTGAGTGAAGTAGAATAAACCGAAATAAGAAAGAGTATGTCTTAATATTAATAGGTTATTTAGAAAAATATTTCATGCCACATAGTCCAAATGTTTGGTAATTCCTGCTAGTGCACTGGAAAACAAATTGCTGAATCTCTATTACTGCCAATTTGTAACTGTATTGTAGGATTATTATTAACAAAGATGTGGCAAAATGTTTATTTCTTGGACTACTTGTGAGTATTTTAACTGCATGAAATGCAATGGATTTTGAAGAGATGCAAACTAATGTGTTGTATTAAAATATGCTAAATTTAAATGAGAAATTGTTTCTATTAAATATTTTTGTTTAATAATCTGCTATATTTATTTTCACAAAAATTATTGACCAAAGCAATTAAGAATTTTGTTTTTAGAATGTTGCTGAAACTGTTTTTGTGTATATTAATTTGTCCTGTTAGTTCAATCTAGAAAATATAAAAGAGCTAGTGAATGGTAAAAGTATACCAGTTAGTTTTTTTTTTTTTTTTTTTCATTTTATCAGGATGCTTCATTAAAAATATTGAATATCTCTTTTTTTGAATGAATTATTTTGTTTGAAACATTTATGATTGCTTCGTATCTGCATATTTGTGGGACTTTTGTAATTCAGTGGCGTAAAGTTTTGCTTTATAAATTTTTCCCTAGTGATCTCAGAATTCAGATTACATAAAGATCAAAACTATGTTAAGGAATTTACTTTGCTTGACTCTTTCTTCTAATTACTAATTTTGAATGAATAAATTTATTCATTATTACTTCATTTAAAAATTAGAATATTATTAGCATCAGAATTTATTATAAAGGTTGATTAATTGCTTATTAATCTATTTTCACTAATGAATTTATGAACTAAATTGACAAATATACATTAAGTTTTTAATAAATATGTGTAAGTTATTATAGAACTGTGCAGCAAAGGTAGCTATTTGTAGTATTAATGCAGTTTTGCTGTCTAATTAAAAAATTTCTTTCTTATTTTTGTCATGACTAATGCACATTTGAAAGCACAATTTACTTTTATTTCTAATGAAACTGCAGCCAGCCACCCGGGAAAAGGATGAAGGTGCAGTATTTAGAAGTGATTATGAATTTTTCCACTATTGGAAATACATTATCTCTGATTTTGATAGCATACAAGTTGTATTCATACTGAGATAGTTGTATTGTGTTACATGATAAACAAATATATGCATACTTGATCTTTAATTATTTTCTATACAGTGGATAATGTTTGGTTTAATTTTACAGTACTATTACATGTATATGTATTATTTGATATAGTAATGATATTGTATGTTGATTAAAACTAATATTTTATCCACTGTGGAAGTTGATGTCTAAAAATAATAATTAATAATTCATATATCAGAAATTTTCTGAGTATACTCTTATGACACTGTGCGAATTTTACCATTGTTTGAAATATGGATTATAATTATATGTTGGTGTTCTATAAAACAATTACAGTGCCTTCAACTTTTAGATTATTTTGCTGAAAGCTGACAGAAAACTGTCATTGTGCTTTTATTCTTTATGCTCGGTATATGATTGTTATAGCTTGGAAATTTTGTTGTTATTGTTCTTCAAGTTGTGTAATATCTTTAGCTGTAGTACATATTTAAATAGACTGTTGCAAAAAGTCATTTTTTGTGAAGTGCACTTTGTTACAATATGCATCACATTACTGAATTGTAAGAAAGTTGTATGTTACAAACTTCTTAAGCAGTAGTATGTTCATTCAAAAATAAATATTTTTATCTTTGCCTTCATATAAGTTAAATTGATAAATTATGCATATCAGTTTCTTTGTACCTCCATTCTTAATCTTCAGTGCCATTGTTAGATTATTATTTTATAAAATTTTTGTCACTTCACCTAAATTGATTCAAAATACACTCATGTCCATAAATTAAGGATAATGCAAAATCAGGCAAAGGAAGAGTTAGAAGCAAAACAAATTTGACTTATTTGTAAAGCTTATTTATTAAACAAAAGGTAAAGAGCAAAAAAAGATGCTATATGTTTGATATTAATTAAAAAATTAGCGATTTTTTCTCCCTAGGAGCAAATTACAAAAAAAAAAAAAAAAAAAAACTATATTACAAAAAAAACCAATATTACATGGATGGTATGATTGTTAATACATTGTATGTCTCCCAGACGATGCAATACAGTCCGTACAACGCCTAGGCATGCTGAGTATCAAATTATCGATCTGATCTTGGGGGATATTACACCACTCAAAAAGCAATGCTCTCCGAAGTTCCGGTAGACATGTAGGAGGAGTTGACGGGCTGCAACTCGTCGGCCAAGCATGTCCCACACGTGCTCTACTGGATTCAAGTCCGGTGAGAATGCTGGCCAGTCCATACGGGTGATATCCTCCGATTGAAGGCATTCTCTTACAATGTTTGCGCGGTGAGGACGGGCGTTGTCATCCATAAACACAAATTGTGCTACCATGGCGCCCCGAAACAAGTGTACATGTTGTTCCAGAATGACTTCCCGATAGATTTGCTTGTCATGGTTCCAATTTGAACATGCAGGTCAGTTCTGGAACCCAGAATAATTCCACCCCAAACGAGCACTCCTGCGCCACTGTAACAGTGTCGTTCAATGATGTTTTCTTGGTGGTAACGGGTACCTGGAGCTCTCCATATGAAAGCCCGGCAAGAATCAGACTGCAAGCTAAAACCTGGACTCGTCGGAAAACATCACACAAGCCCACTGTTGCAGTGTCCACGATGCATGCTGTCTACTCCAGGCTAACTGCAAACGAAAGTGAGTTGCAGTAAGTGGAACGCATCTGACAGGTCTAAGAGCATATAGACCAATCTGCCCTAAGCGTCTGTACACGGTCTGCCTTGAAATTGTCGTACCAGTGGCTGACAAGACAGGTCTGTGGCTGTGCTCTGCTGTTTCTTTTGACAGTAACTGCCAAATACCGGTCCTCATTCGTCGTCGTAACTCAGGGGTGACCTGTGCTGTAACGTCTACTCACATTACCATCGTCTTGGAATTGTTGCCAAAGCCTGGAGATGACACTATGGGCAATTCCAAGTTCGTCTGATACTTCCAGTTGCCCACATTCCAGAAGGCCGATAATTCTAGCACGTAAAAAATCATCCAAATGCGTCCTTTGTGTCATAACTATTTGGTTATTGCACTGAAATGCTTATAAAGCGCCTGCGAACAATTTTTTTCTTTGCCTGTATTCCTTATATATCACTCTCTTGCACTCTCGTCATTGTGAAGTTTCATCAGTGTCATCTGGTTACTTCCTGAAATTTGCATATGATTCTTGAAGATGTGTGTAGTGATTTTACAGGTGATATATTTATTTTAGAATTCGATTTCCGCGTGACTCCGAATTATCCTTAATTTATGGACATGAGTGTATTTATTTGTGTTGATGACATGCTACAGTTTCCTTTTAGATTAGGAAATGATAATTTTTTTAATCATCATATGGTTTAAAATCAGTCATTTAAAAAATGCGATAGCCTTAGCTGTAAATTACATTAAAAAACAAAAAAGTTGTAATTTATAATTGCACTCAGGTATATATTTCAAGTGTTTGAAAAATAACAATGTAAACAAGCAATTAAGCTTCATCAGTCATGTGATGAACTGATTTTGATTTTTCAAAAATGTATGATTTCATTGGAACATTTTATAAACCTGTAATTCATCAGAGCATATCCAAAATAATATGTAATTTTTATACATCAGTGTATTTTTAGATTATATGTAATCTGTATCCACTTTTATGGTGATAATCAGTATAAACATCAATAGTTATATTAGTCATTTTACTCAAAAGTTACTCTGTATTTTGCTTGAAATAGAGTTATCAGTCAGTGTAATGTTAAATGTATACTTTGTTGTACTTCATTATTAGTTATAAAATGACTTTAATTACAATTACACTAAGTTTAGCAATAGACTTTGTATACAAATTTAAACACTAGATTTTGTATACAGATTTCAAATCTGTATTCAAATCTGTATTTAGAAATTTAGATTTAATACAATGCTGTTGTATTAAATCTAAATTTTACAGATTGTTAGGGACCAAATCATTTATCTGGCACAGTTTCTAAATAATTTTTTGTCTTATTCAAAAGTGCAGTTAACAAGTAAATATAAAATTCCATGTATATTTTATAATCTATTTTTATAATTTTTCTTATGCTATTTTTTTTTTAAATTTAAATGCATTTGCATGATTTAAAATATGTTAAAAATGTTTTCCCCTCCTTTTTGTGCCCCCCCCTTTTTTTTAGAAGGGAGTTTTCCATTTTGTAACTTTCTGTTTCCTCTCCTTAAAATAATTTAGCTCAGGTTATTCAGTCAAATTTATTAACATATGCTAGTCTGGAAAAATGCTGTAAACATTTTTTATGAATCACCGCTTTTAAACCTTTTAAGTTATTGTAATGTTTTATAAGCTTATAAATATTGTAATGTTTTATAAAAGTCTTATTTTAAAGCAATAAAAAGCCATTGCATTAAAAAAAGTGTTAAACATTTCATTTGTTTGATGCTAAAGATACACAAGCATTAAAGTATTTGTCATAATATTAGTATCATTTGTTGACAGGTCTTAATTTAGCTCAGGTAATAAGTCATAAAAAAGTATTTAATTATATATTCTATTTATATTTAATTATATATTTAATATTTATATTAATAATAATATTATAAATTAATATTTCTCTTCTGAGCAATTTTATTCTTTTTACATTATTATTTTTTAATGGTTTCTTCCAATGCCAAAGTATGCTATGTATATTTATTCATTTAATGTAAAAGTGTTGTGTTACATTGAGCAAGTTTTATATTGATTTAGAATTGAGATAGTATCAATATTGATTCTATTAAGAGTTTGCTGCCTGTGTTGTTAAAAGGTTTTATGAAGTGAATAATATTTCAAACTCCATAGCAGGAGAATCATCATAAGTTGAATCATAAAGTATATGTGATTAATATGATATAAATCTTTATTAAATACAGTTTTTTATGTGACTGCTAATAATCATACAAATTATTAAGTGAATGCTTCAACTAGGCAATAAAAGCCTGTTCATTTACTCTTAAAGGAATTAAGTTGACCTTCATTTTTATGGCATTTTGAAGATCTTTTAGAGTCGCAGAAAATAATTACAAGAAGGAAAATTAAATGAATATAATAATGATTTTTAGGACAGAAAAACTGATATTTTTTCCCACTATCATTAAGCCATTTCACGATACACTAAATGTATCGAATGGAAAAGGCAAGTTATATGCATGTTTATGTATCTAATATCTATTTCTGTATGCTGTTATACATACGTAATAATTTCTAAGAGAAGGAGAAAATACTTATAAGCATTTCCGGTAGAACAATATTTTATTTCTTACCAAATACTTTGCTTTAGATAAACATTCTTAATCCATTATTGATAAATTGGCACAGCAAGCACGCCTTCTGTCAAAGATGTTGCAGCAAAAGCAATCTGGCTAGCCAGAGAAGCAGATATTGAATGCAACTTATCTTCCATGAAAATTTAGTGCAGAATAATTTAGTTTTAGTTTACCTTTAATCCCTGTTGGTTATTAAAAATTTCACTTTCCATGTCTGAAATTATTAACTCTCTGAATGTTAAAGTATCTGGATTTTTGCGTTTTGTAAGAATCTAGGCCAGCATTTGATTTTGAAATGATGTAATTTAGGGAGGTTTATTACTCGTATAAGCAGTTATTGTTAGGGTGGTTAGAGGAAATACTCAAGTTAAAATGAAGAATAAGGAATTATTGCAAATTAAAATTAGTAATTTTATTTACATATTTTTTATCTTGCATATATAACTTCAGTCTGAAGTGTGTTTATTTATTTATTTATTTATTTGACTGCATGGAGACGGAACTTTATTTTTAATAATATGAACCATTACATCCTTTCTCTCAGTGTATGGTTTTTACACATATTTTGTTCACATTTATTTTTATTTTCTGATGTTATTGGGTATTGGAACATAGATATTAATTTTTATATATTCCAATGCATAAATTTAGTACAAATGAATCTTCCTTGTACTGTTCAGTGGCTGCAAATGTTACTATTTACAAATTGGTTAGTTATTTTAGTACCAAGCGGCAATGTACAGATGTTTAAATTTAAATTACCTCCCTATTTCATTTTGAGCCGAGAAGTATTATACAAAGCTAGCTGGCTTTCTTTATTTGTCTGATTTTAGTATTTATTTTATCATTCCCAACATATAGATGATACTTTAATTTCTTGACATAATTTTCTTATGTAACCTTTGTAAAACATTTGTTTTCTTTCTGATTTTTGAAAGCTTTATGTAAAGCTTAGTGTTCAACGTTTTGCTTCAAACATTACAAAATCTCACTCTTAACTCCAGTGTTTAGCAGCAGTGCTCATGCTGTGAAGTTATAGAATGGTTCATTTGAAAATCATTACATGTTTTCAAAAGAAGGAAAAGGAAGAGTTTCGGCCGTCCAACAACAAATGGAAGAAAGAGTTTCTGCCATCCAACAACGCAGTCCAACATATTGAACGACAAATTGAAGACAAGAGTTCCTGCTGTCGTCGCCAAAGAAGTTGATACGCTGAAGAAATGCATAGCGGAAGGAAGCAATTCCGATGGTTTAAAATTTTTACCGGTGCCTGCTTGTCCGTCTCTGAAGCTATCCACGCATGATGGGAAGACCTCCTGGCAAGTATATAAGATACAACTTTCTGTAGTTGCGGATGCGA